ATATCTATTTATATTAGAGCCTTATATTATGAAATGTGAGATGTGATCACAAGAGGACCTTACATTCCCATCTTACCTAATTTTGTCACAAGTGAGAAACTACCCAAACCAAGAGCTAGGTCGACTAAAGCTAAAGTTAAAAAAGTTCAAACTAATTTTAAAGCTATCAACACCTTCCATTATACATTGATTTCTATTGAATTCAATAAAATCTCTAGTTATACCACAATCAAGCAGATTTGGAAAAAACTTAGGGTCATTCATGAAGAGGCTTCACAAGTTAAAAAGTGCAAAATTGACTTACTCACCCATAATTATGAAATGTTCAAAATCGAATAAGGTAAAGACATCTCTACCCTGTTTGATAGGTTTACTAACATTATAAACAAGCTTAATAAACTTGGAAAAACCATCCTAAAACATGAGTTAGTGAAAATATTACTTAAATGCCTCCCAAAAAGCTAAAAACCCAAAATCACGTCATTCGAGAAGTCAAGGATCTCAATGTGGTCATACTTGATGAAATTTGTCACTCACTCCTCACATATAAACTAGAAATGAAGAAAGAAGAAGAAGAGGATAAGAAAAAAGAGAAAGAGAAAAAAATTCTTGTACTCAAGATTAGCACACTTGAAGAAGAAGTAGAAGAATTGTCAAGTGATGACAATGAAGAATTAGCCATGATAGCTAAAAAGTTTAGAAAGTTGATGGGACAAAAAAGCAAAAGGTTTTGGAAGAAAAAAAATTCAAGAAAGATTAAGGTTTTTCTTGGAAAAACAAGCATAAGGGTGATCTTAGCTAAAAAAAATGAAATGGTCTATTTTAAATGTAAAAAAGTTAGACATTTCAAATCAAAATGCCCATTACTCAAGGAAGAAACTTCAAAGAAAATAAAATAAAATAAACCAAAAAGAGCAACGGTGGCAACAACATGATCTGATAGTGATTTTTCAAGTTCAATGGAAGATAAAGCAAAATTAGAGGAAAAAGAAAACTTTTACCCTATTGCAAAAAAGGAAGAAATTGAGGTAACATTTAACTCTTATGATATCTCTTATGATGAACTTTAATAAGAGTATGAATACTTGCATGTTGAATTTAAAAAACTTGTTTTAAAATATAAAACTATGACGAAGAAAACTATAGATTTAGATGACGAGTTAGAGAAAATCAAGCATGATATAACTTTATTTTTGATCAAAGGATTATGCTTCAAATTGAACTTGTGATATCGTTTATGATGAACTTCAAGAAGAGTATTTTAACTCTTGAAGTTAGAACTAGAGAGCAAAAATATAGCCGTACAAAAGGTAGTAGATAAAAATGTTGCTTTCAAAGCTTCAATGAAGGAGAAGTCAAAACTGAATTTGGAAATTCAAGAGAAACCAAAGAAAACTACAATTTTTAGAAAGAAAAATAATGCATTTTTTCAACATTGCTATGTGTGTGGCAAAAAAGGGCACTTATCTTTTAATTGTTATCATGATGAAAATAGACTTCCTAAAACCAAATTGGTTTGGGTGCCTAAAGGATCTCATGTGTTAACTAACCCTCAAGGTTCATCAAAGTATGTGTACCTCTTAAGAAAAATTGAAGATCTATTTTTTAGGTTGAGAAAGGGCAAAAGACAAATGTTTTGAAACTCAATAGAAGGAAAAGTAGCCTTGGTACTTGGACAGTGGCTACTTAAGGCACATGATAGTCAATGAGAACTTTTTTGCTAAGCTTGATAGGAATAAGAGTGGTAGTGTCTTTTTTAGTGATGACTTCAAGGGTATTATCTAAGGAATTGAAACTATTGGTAACACATCTTAAACCTAAATCAAGCATGTTTTATTTGTTAAAAGTTTAAAACATATTTTGTTAAGTATTAGTCAGCTTTGTGATAGAGGGTCTAGAATATGCATCGATTCGCATGGATGTCAAGCGATTTAAAGTATCTCAAAGAAAGTGGGTACTTTATCCGTTTGCATCCTTACTAATGATATGTAGAGTTAAACACTAAATTCTAGGCTAAAACACCCCCACCCTCGAAAGTTTTAATCAAAATTTCAAACGAGTCTATTAGTTTTTGAAATGGATACTTCGTTTCAAAAAATATCTTTAGCTAGACACATAGATCCAACCGTTAATCAACCATTAGTGTTTTTATTAGTTTGAGGACTTGGCAATATTGAAAGGATAATTTTACCTTTTATTAATTTTAAAAATTACTATTATATAATTTTTTATTAATTTAAAAAATAAGAGGTGGAGGGGAGCACCGATGAATTATTTATTTTGATTTTTTACAAAAAATTATATAATAATTTTTTAAATTAATAAAAAAGGTATTGTAATCCTTTCATATTCTCTGTTAACAATGTTTACACTTTTGAGACGAAGTGTCTATTTCAAAAATTAATAAACCCGCTTGAAATTTTGACTAAAAATTAAGAAATAAGGTATTTTATCCTAAATTCTGCATTCTAATATCCTAATATTATGGTGAGACTTTATTCTTTCTTTAAGTTTTTAACAACTCGAAATAAAACTAAATTTTCATGATAAAAATAAAAAATAAAAAGATAAGTCTTGTCGATGTAGAACTTCCGTAGAGATTCCTTTTAACAATCATATTTACTATCATTATCATCACAGTTTATATAAATAATTCTATCCCTAATAAAAGAATCAAAGGCTTTACGAAGAGTAGAAGTCAGGCATGTGTTTCTAAACTACAAATGATTTGATCAATACAAAAATGTAAATAGCATTATGTTAGCTGTCTCCCATAAGCATAAGTAATTGGAGATGTGAATTGATAAAGAACTCAAAACATATAGTGAAGTTATAGCAATATTTATTTACATTATACACAATGTAAAACAAAAGTAAAAAACATTAAGGTTACGTTTGCTTGGTGAAATAGGCAGGAATAGAATAGAATAGTTATTATGTGGGAATAAAATGAGATGAGAATAGAATAGAATAGTTATTATTTTATTTGGTACGACGAATGGAATAACATAGAAATAATTATTATGACTTATTGAAGTGTTTGGTTGGTAACAATAATTTTGAAATAAGAAAAGAATAAAAAATAAAAAGACAAAAACACCCTTTATTATTTATATTACTATTTATTTTTATTATATTTTTTAAATATTAATGATCTAGAATTTAATTAAAATATTAATAATTAATCATTTAAATATAAATATTTCATTTATAATTTAATCATTAATATTTTAAAATATTAATATTTTATTTAATTTAAATATTATTATGATTAATTATTTTATTTTATTTTCAAATATTAATAATTGATAATTTAAATATTAATATTTTATTTATAATTTATCATTAATATTTTAAAATATTAATATTTTAAATTTAAATATTATTATGACTAATTATTATGTTTTATTTTTAAATATTAGTAATTGATAGTTTATTTAAAATATTAATAATTGATCATTTAAATATTAATATTAATTGGTAATTTATTTAAAATATTAATAATTGATGATTTAATTATTAATATTTTATATATAATTTAAATGTTATTATGTTTATTTATTTTTAATTTATTTTTTAAGTAGGAATAATTTATAATTTATTTTATTAATAACTTATAATTTAAATATTAATATTTTATTTATAATTTAATTTTTATTATTTTAAACTATTCATATTTTATTTATAATTTAATATTAATATGGTAAAATATTAATATTTTATTAAAAGTTAGAATCAAGGGAGAGGAAGAGGAGAGAGAAAAAAATAATATTTTATATAAATAGAGTTGTAATTTTTTAAACTTGTAAAGGATATTTTGATCTTTATGATTTTTTGAGTTTATTCCTCAAACTATAGAATAGCTAGTATCATAGGGGAGGATGGTATTAGCTATTCCTTAGTTTTGGAGGATTTTGAAGAATAGCCATTTCATAGGAATGGCTATTCCTTGGACGATTTCTCAACCAAATAAAGGAATCAAAATTTCTTGGGAATAAAAGGGGAATGACTTAGCCATTCCACCAACCAAACGTGCTATAAAGGAATTGTCAACGAAGAGATTTCAATCCCTAGCCTTTTTTTATGAGTCATTTATATTAGGGAACATAATCATAAAAATGGAAAACTAATTTATTTTGATTACCCAAAAATTTAAACAGCATTGTCTTAGCTATCTTTCTATAAGTAGTTGGATATGTGAGTTGGTAAGAATTCAATACTTATACCTGTGTCAATTACAATATTGTGTACGCATATACGCCATTTAAAAGAAAATAACCAAATCTTTCTCTTTTCCTTTTTTGGTTTTATAAAATTTGTGTGAGAGAGGATGGGAATTTTAATCTTAAAAGTTAAATCTAAGCTTTTAAGAAAAAATAACAATTGTTTATAAATAATATATTTTCATTAAGTATTAGAGGTGTTCGTGAGTTTAAATCGAGTCAATTTAAAATAAATTGTAGACATAAATTTTTAGATTTGAAGTCCACTTTAAAAATTATATACTTAACTTAAATGGATGGTTGGGAGCTTGAGTTTGGGTTTGCCAATAGTATTGGGCTGAATTTAACTTATAAATGTTTGTATATTTTATATTGTCAATACATCATTAAATATCGAAAAGTAATATTAATAATCTTTTAAATAAGAGAAATGAGAAAAGCATAAAATAAAATCTCGTATTTATCTTGTGAATTTGTAAAAAATTATGAATTTATCTAAACTTCTAATTTCATTCGCCCACATTTTATTTTTTTCCATGATAGAAAAGAAATTATTGCTCCTTGGGTAGAAATTATAATATGAACATAGAGAAATATATTTTTTGAGAGGAGGAAAAATTTGACCAAATTACAAAAAAATAAAAAACTTGCCATATTTTGGATATTGACAATGTTATAAACCCATTTGAAGAGTTAGAAGTTAACCATGGTTAGGATTCTCAGCCAATTATATGAAGAAAAATGATTAGGGTTAACAAGAAAATGCAAATTGGGAGACAAAGAAAAGCCTATACCACTGAAAAAAATATTTGTTAATGTTATTATGGTTTTATGGTCATAGGGGGAAAGGCTTGTCCTGTCTGGGTTAAGAGGGGTTTTGAGAAAAGGTCCAGTTTTGGGGGCATTTTTTAAGATTTGAGAGAGAAAAGAGGGGGCATAAAAAAAATTGGTGATGGAGGTATGTCCATGGTGTCTCTCTGATACAAAAGAATGTTCCATCTACTAGGTCAGTTCTTATTATAAGGTAATAATTTCACTATATTTTTCCCTGAAAAATACTCTTCATAAGCTGATCATTTCATGTGAAATTCTGGGTCTTGATTGATAAATCGTGATTCGCCTGTTTTCGTTTTGCACAAGCTTAACGTAGATCCATGGATGTTAGTTTGCGTGTTAATTTGGATTGGTTTTCTTTGTAACTTGGTTTGGATTAGTTTTACTCTTAAACGCTTCTTTATACCATTCGATGTATCTTTGTCTGCAATAATTGCTAGATAACTCATGTGGGAGAGAGAACATGGTTTGTGTTTCCTTTTCTCTCTTTCTTTTCAGATGTCGCACTTTGTTGGCTTGTAAGTACATTTTGGAAATGAATAACTTGACTGAGCTTTTCGCCTTAACAAGTTCCCTTCTTGACGATAATTACATGTTCTTTTCAATTTGTTTTTCCTTTTTGGGCATTGTTCTTGACGATAATTACATGTTCTTGACGATAATCCCTGTTCTTATGATTTTGGGCATTGTTCTTACCTCGGTCTTTTGTGTTTGTATCCGTTTTGAAGTGGGCTTTGGGCTTTTTCCATTTTTTTCTCCTCAAGTATGAGAAAACACAGAAGCTGAGGAATTGTTAAGTGGGGTGGCTGAAATTTGTAGAAATTTTCTGGTGGCTCTACCATTAGAGAGCAACGCTGGCAAAGGGAAATGGAGTGCAATAAAGATGAGGCCACCAGAGCTAAAGAGCTTGCTGAGAAGAAGTTCATGGCCAAGGATATTGTGGGGGCAAAGAAATTTGCTTTGAAGGCCCAGAATTTGTATCCTGGGCTTGACGGTATTTCCCAAATGATAGCAACACTCGATGTTCATATTTCTGCGGAGAACAGAATAAATGGGGAAGCAGATTGGTATGCCATACTCGGTGTGAATCCACACGCTGATGATGAAGCAGTGAGGAAACAATATAGGAAGCTTGCTTTAATGCTTCACCCTGATAAAAATAAGTCTGTAGGAGCTGATGGGGCATTTAAACTTATTTCAGAGGCATGGAGTTTGTTGTCTGATAAGGCTAAGAGAGTAGCATATGACCAGAAGAGGAGTGGGAAGTTAATGCAAAAGGTTTCAACACCTAGTGCAGGTCCAACAGCATCAAAAGTGGCAAATGGTTTTCACAATGTCACCAAAACAACCACTTCAAGTGCGAGGAATTCCAAGAGTAACCCACGTGCTGCTCAGTCTTCGACCCCTGCTGGTCGTACATCAAACCGTCCTGGTCAGTCTTCAAATCCGGCATCATCTCATAAGCCAAAACCAAATACGTTCTGGACTGTCTGTCACCGATGCAGGATGCAGTATGAGTATCTGAGAGTGTATCTTAATCATAATCTACTGTGCCCCAACTGCCATGAGCCATTTTTGGCTGTAGAAACCGCTCCCCCAACCACATCTACCTCTACCTCTTGGAATTATTCGCAACAGCGGCAGAGCACAAATAGTCAAGCAGCTAACAGAAGCACAAGTAATTCAGGAAGAAACCATGCTTCTGCATCTAATGCCACAGGATTCAGTAGTCATGATTCATATAGTCAAAGCAACTTCCAATGGGGTCCTTTTTCCAGGACAGGTGGTGCCTCAACTGCAGCTCAAGCTGCAAGTGTGGTTCAGCAAGCATATGAGAAAGTGAGGAGAGAGCGGGAGGAAGCGCAGGCAGCTATAAAAAGAGAAGAGGCCATGCGGAGAAAGCATCATACCTCTAAAAGGGCAAGCGGTGCTTCTTCAACTGGATACACTAATGCTGCTAAGAGAAGGAGAGGCATGGAAGATGCTAGTGGAAGCACCCATGGAACTAATGTCACCAATCAAATGGGTGTAGGAAATGGAGGTACAGCTAGTCTAACAGGATCAAAACTAGGCAGTTCAGAAACAGGTTGGATCAATGGAACCACTAAGCACAACAGTGCAAGAGATATCTCTCAGATAGAAATTCAAAGTCTGCTGGTGGCGAAGGCCAAGGGAGAAATTCGAAAGAAACTGCTAGAATTGAATTCATCATCAGCAGCTACGGCATCCAAAGATATTAAAGGCAATGAAAATGCAAATGAGAAACCAAACAAATCTTTGGTAAACAATGAAGCACAGGATCAGAACAAGTTAGGAGGGTTTGTTGATAAAATCAATGGGGATCATTGTGCCAAGACTTTTCCTGGCAGTCGTGTCAAAACTGATCCGGAAACATTGGAAGCAATGTCCATAAATGTCCCAGATCCAGATTTTCATGACTTTGACAAGGATCGAACTGAAAAATCTTTTGGAGATAACCAGGTATGGGCTGCATATGATGATGATGATGGGATGCCTCGATATTATGCCATGATCCATAATGTTATTTCTCTGAATCCATTCAAGATGCGGATCAGCTGGCTTAATTCAAAAACTAACAGTGAGTTGGGTCCACTTAACTGGGTAGGTTCTGGTTTCTCAAAAACCTGTGGGGAGTTCAGAATAGGCAAGCATGAGATCAACAGCTCACTTAATTCTTTTTCACACAAGGTTCGGTGGACAAAAGGGATGCGTGGGGCCATTCATATATATCCAAGAAAGGGTGATGTTTGGGCTATCTATAGGAACTGGTCCCCTGAATGGAATGAGTTAACTGCCGATGAAGTAATACACAAGTATGATATGGTAGAAGTACTTGATGACTACAACGAAGACCTAGGTGTGGCAGTTACTCCGCTTATCAAGGTTGCTGGTTTCAAGACAGTGTTTCACCGACATCTGGACCATAGAGAAATTAAAAGGATTCCAAGAGAAGAGATGTTTCGTTTCTCTCATCAAGTTCCTTCATACTTGCTTACAGGTCAAGAGGCTTCCAATGCTCCAAAGGGTTGCCGGGAGCTAGACCCAGCTGCTACTCCGGTGGAACTTCTTCAGGTAATTATAGATGTTAAGGAAGAAGAGATTCTGGAAAATGATAAGGAGATTAATGAAGAACATGTTGTTGTGGATGTAGAAAAAGCTAATGATAGAGGGGTAGTGGAGAATAGTGAAAAACCTAGGGAAGAAGAGGACAGTGGTTCTCAAGTTGAAGAAATAGAAATTATAGCGAATGTTAGAAATACTTAAAGAAGATGAGAGAATGGAGCATGATGAATAAGGCCGATTAATTGAGTTCAAGATTAACTGGTTTTGTTGTGGACAGATGATATGGACGGTCGTAAAATTGGGTGGAACTGGTTTCATGATCATCCAATGTGTACAACCTTGGCCTGTTATCTCACCTAAACGTTTGGAGTTGACCTCAAAATGTATCTAACCATGCGAAAATCTGCAAGTTGATGATGTTTTAGAAGTAGATCCACAGGTTTTGGGGTTTCCTGCAGTTCATCTTGAAAGCTGATTCTGGTGCTGGTTGTGGTAAATGGAACTTCTTAGGGTTTTGAAAGCAGAGAGCTATACATGCTATTGTATGCTGTTTCAGCCCAGGGAACAGCTCTTTCTCCATCATAACTCTTTAACCTGCAGGGTTGCTGATAGCCTGCACTCTTACTATTTCAATTTTATAGTGTTTTTCTTGCTCAATTTTCTCATCCTTAGTATTTGACGGTCATGGATTCATGTTCTTTTGTACTTGGCTGTATAGTTGTACTGTTAGTTCAGATTAGAGGTTCAATAACAGTGAAGATTGTGGGTAGATACAATTACTGCTCAAATCATATTAGAAATTATTATTTACTTTTTACCAGAATTTATCTTTTGTCAAGCAGATAGCCGTATTTCATCTAGTATCTTGATGTTATCTTGGAGTTGATGTTTCCTTTGTTAATTTAAGTTATAAAAATGTACTGAATGACCCAAATTGAGGCAAAGGGTTTGTTGATAAACTGCTGATGCTTAAACCCCCTTTTTCAAGGCACCACCAGAACGCTAAGAAATTGGTTCCATCCCGAAGCATGTTATTTTCTGGCTTTGGATTGTGCATCAAATGTGTATATATAGTGGTTTTGCCTGCTATCCACAAATGAATGATGACTTGGATTTGGTTGCATAGTCTGAAAACGCCTCACCATGTTTGAAACATTTTTATGCAGTTTGTTCTGCTGTATTTCAGAAATGCTAGTTTATTAATAATATACCCTTAGTTGAATGATTTTTTGCAGTTTCAATAACTAAACATCTTTGGTTTCTTTTTTTTTTTTTTTGGCTTGAGTCTGTGTTGTGTGCTTCAGAAAGGTAATATCTGAGCTAGGCCTTTACCTTTTTTCGTTGTTTTGCGTCGAGCTTGGCCTTCCACAATATTCAAATTTCAAACTTAAAATATGTTACGCAATTCATTGGTTTTTTTCTCTTTTACTTTTTTAGAAGAATGATGTAAATCATTGATTCATCAATACATTTTATGAACTAAGAACTTTTAATAAAACATTTTAGTTTATCTTAAATTCTTTTTTTGTTCGTAACTAAGAGTCTCACCCTAAACTTTTTCATGAAAAAACCCAGTAAAATAAAAATCATGGAAAGAAAAAAAGAGTACCCCACAGTCATATAATCATCGAAAAAGTACATTAACCTCTCCGCATTTTAATGGTTTCAATTTGAGCTCCTTGCATCTCTAAGCACGGCGTATTGAACATTGCTTTATTTTCCTCCACACCACAGCTTCTTCAACCTTTTGCAATCAAGTGAGCTACATTGCTACACGCTCTTGGACAATACTGAACAGATTCACAGCCAACCACGTGCATTAGAACAATAGCCCAAGACTCCATTAACTTTCTGCTCTTTAATCTAGTTAACTACCATCAAGCTGTCCAATTCTAATTCAGGTGTCGTTAATCCTTCCCTCTTACAACACTGTAGAGACCACACAGCAGCTCCCAATTTAGCTTCTTCAGCAGAGGTTCCAAAATTCAATTTGCCCTCCCCGCAAGAGTCAGTTTTCCATCTCGTCTCTAACTGCAGAGTCCGCACCCGTTTTCTTCTCCTCATCAGTCCCAACTAATGCCGCATCCACATTCTTTTTACAGACCCTTGGGAGACACCATGTTACTATCCTTGTTTGCTGAAGAGACAAGCTTCCATGTGCCTTATTAACAGCCCTGTATTGCGATGTAGTGCTGATGCCAATTTCCAACTCCTGTGCCGGCTGCAGCTTTTCATTTTTAAACACTGCCCAGTTGCAAGCCTTCCAGACAGCCCATAAAACCCCCCATTACCATTACATCACATAAATATTGCAGCCAATCTATCAGTGTTCTAAAATTTTCTTCTAGGGGTCGGAATCCCCATTTCGATATCATCCATACAACCCTTGCCAATGTGCAACAACACAAATAATGGAATAAAATTTCTAGCTCATCGCTACAAATAGGACAGTTTCCTTTAACATTTGCTCTTCTTTGAATCAGTGCTTTTTGTGTTGGAAGAATACCATTACTGGTTTTCCACAAGAACAAAATGATTTTCCTGGGAATATTAATTGCCAGATCTTTTTCCAACGTCCCAAACAATTACCATTTGAGGAGTCCACTACATTATTCAGAGAAGTAGCTTGGATTAGTCTGTAACCCGATTGCACCATATACCTCCCATGCTTGTTGAAGAACCAAACTTTCCTATCTCTAGACCTTCTAAAGCTCAAAAGTATGGACAAAATGAGATCCCGTTCACATGGAAGGAATATGTTATTTATTTTTTCCGCATTCCATGTCATTGTATGTTCAATTATCAGCTTTAAAACCCACAACTCGTCTTCTACTGCGCATTCAAAACTCATAATCAGTCTTGGTGAATCATGTGGCAGCCAATTATCTCGACTTACACTAATTTCCTTCCCATCTCCTACTCTCCAAATTAGACCCTTTTTTACTGCCTTTTTACTCTCTCTAAGGCTTCTCCACAAGTAGCTAGGATTAGATCCAATTAGAGCATTTTTAAAATCGGTTCTTGGGAAATATCTTGCTTTCAGAACCATAAACGCAAGAGTTGTCTCTTCCATTTGTAGTCACCGGCCCCGTTCAGCAAGCATTGCCAAATAGAAGCTCTCGATGTCTTTAGAACCCATCCCTCCAATGAATTTTGAAGAGCACAATGACTTCCAATTCTTCCGATAAATTTTTTTTAATCTTTACTATTACCACTCCACCAAAATTGAGCTATCACTGAATCAATTTCTTGGCAAGTTGAGTCAGGAAGCTTAAAACAACTCACTACATATGTTGGGATTGCCTGCGCCACTGCTTTTAATGAGAATATCTCTCCCAACCACGTGATTCTTTCATAAATTGAAAATCTGCTTCCTCGAACCCCATGCAATTAACGGCATCCCTAGGTACATTCCTCCCCATTGTATATCATTAATAC